GGCAAAGTCCAATCCATAACATAGTCATCTTCACATGAACTTGAGCACTTTCACACCAAATGCATACCCAAGGAAAGTTGCAATGGCGATCCCAAATATTCCAGCCAGAATCCCGGGAACAATCAACGAGTGCCATCCCTTTGCCGTCGCCATTCCCGCTGCAGTCGTGGGTCCTCCAACATTAGCATTTGATGCCAAAAGCAGCAATCTTAACTCAACGTTCAACAGCTTTCCTATGCCCAATATCACAGCAAGATGCGTCCCAATTTGGACCAGTGCAAACAAGAATATGCTCGGCGCCGTGTTTATCACAGTCCATATGTTTCCGCTAGCACCCACCACAGTGAAGAACACCTGAAAGAAAAGTAGTTAATACTTTTCAGTAAAGCTAAGCATTGTTCTTGAAAATGGAGTGTGGAAACTGTTGTAATTTTTCTCTCATACCTGCATCAGAATAAGAGCCATTGCTTCTCCAGGTGGAGCAAGACGACCAAATTGGGAGGGAAACACAGTTGCTAAAACGACAACAACTGCGGTTATAGCTGGTAAGCTACCACCCGCAATCCCGGAATACTTAGTTAGCAAAGCCCCAACCTTGCATATAGCTAAGGACACTGCAATTCCAGTAGCTATCAGTAGAATAGGAATTTTCTTTTCAGTTTCGGAACCTTTGTTCATCTCTGCATCTGCCATGGAAGAGGAAAATCTAAGTCAGAATTCATAAACTGAATCTATCAATGGAATAGTGCAAAACTGGCCAGAATCGACATGATAAGGGAATGGAACAGAACACATGGCAATGATCCATTCTTCTAAAGCAAACCAAAATCAAACGAAACCGTACACCACAGCAATATTCAGACTTACCACTAGTTGGTGGCGGTAAAACTTCAGCAGGTATTTTGGAGCCTATGGCAAACAATGTCGTGAAATATACAGCGCATATAACATTATCAGCAGCGAGTCCCGCAGCTAATACTGATGGTGTAACTTGAAGAGCATTCGCTATGGCAACATAGTTAACGGCTGGACAAAAAAAACAATCAAAATACAAACTTATAAGCCACTAT